AGATAGATAGATAGATAGATAGATAGATAGATAGATAGATAGATAGATAGATAAGGAGCCTACGCTCTGCATCAGTCAAGAAGGAAAAGCAGGGTTCATTTCATTTTTAATACTTTCATCCTGTGCATATGATTAAGGCTGATATATAGGAGACATGTAACACAGGATTTCAACAATGATGTGGACTTTGAATTTTTAAGTGGGTGAAGATTAGGTTTCCACTCTAGTAATAACATACAACAAACATACCTCATTCAGACAGATGAAAGCTGGCGTTTCAGCTAAATCCACAAGCCGCTCCTCCCGAAGGTTAATTGTGGGCACTATGACAGAAGAGATGTCTTTCTCCTCTGTTTCGACTTTCTTTTCATCATCATCTTCTGCGTTTTCTTCTTCTGTGTCTGTGTAATCGTCTTCCATTTTTCACAATTCTAAAATAAAATCATTCCATATTCAAACATGTCTTTACTTACAAAGTAACAGAAGTAGTACAACATAAGCAAAATTCAACTAAAATAAGTCTCTGTCTGTCTGTCTGTCTCTTTCTGGAACAAAATCCAGGCCTTGACCATGTTATTGTTCTCTATGATAAGTCTAATGAAAAAGTTTACTGAAAAAAAATGAATGAAAAGTCTAATGAAAATGATAAGTTCCCAGGGGACAGACTAAGTTTCTGAGTAAGGTAGGCACTGAAGTGGTATTTATTGAATGAATAAATTTATTGAATGGATAAGTACAGCCTTTTCAATTAAATTGTAACATACAGTTAGGAGCTGGGGAAATGGCTAAAGCGCTCACTTCGAGCCGAGGGAAAGTGTGCCAGGGCAGGGTGGGTGTGGCTGCATGTTTGTAATTCCAGCCCAGTAAGGCAGAGACAGGAAATCCCCAAGCGTGCCTGCTCTGAGAGACGAGCCAAAAAGGGAGCTTGAGTTTGATTAAGAGACCTTGCCCCACAGAATAAGGTGAGAGATCAATCAAAGACGACTCTGGACGTCAGCCTGAGCTTCCACAGGTGCAATTCCACAGGTATGTGAGCCCACATACATGCAAACCACGTGTACACATATGTCCGAAAATTATTAGTAGTGACTTTGGAAAATACAAACCGTCTCCAGGGTGAGATCTATGCAGGGGAGAGTGAGGGGAGACAGAAACAGGCTCTTGAGAAGCCAAGAGGAGGAGCAGGCAGCAGCCTTCTCAGCAGGGTTGGGTCGTGTCCAGTCACCAGCTGCAGACCCTTTCCCACATTTAATTGCAAGGAAACGAAAGGCTGACAATAAGAACATGGTCACATATGACCGCAGAAAAATGGAGCAGGACCCCTCTAGCTAGCTCCTAGGTTAAGCTCTGCTTTGATTTCTGGTTACTTCTAGAGCATGTGCCTTGTCCACACTTCCATAGTCACACTTAAAACACTGTATTATAATTTATTGTTTTCCCATTGTCTCCTGAATTGTACTCCTTAAAAAGGAAACTTTGTTTGCCTAGGTATCTTCAACATCGGCAAGCCACACACAGAACAGACTGTGTACAAAGAATGTTCGCCAACAGAGAAAAGAATTTCAGCTTTGCTTCTCATTTTATGACTGCAAATAATTTGCTTGGATTTTCAGATGTAAAATGCTAATACTAAACCAATGAAGTAAGAATTATTTATTCAACATATTAGATCATTAATTCATCCAAGTTCCAAAGTAGCAACACTACAGTTCCTCTCGGATTTCTGTCACCACTTTGGAAAAGCCCCCCCCCCCCCCCCCGCCAGATCACACCAGGATGCTTTCCTGCATAGCTACCTAATCCAGTACAGAAAAGAGAAAGAGATTTGTGTGTGTGTGTATGTGTGTGTAGGGGGCCTATTTAAAAAGCAAGAAAAATTTACTATAAAAATGCCAAAATATGAAATTTATCCTTTAAACTGTTATTGCTCATGAAATATAATAAATTGTGACACATGAAGACAAAATAAATAGAAACAATATAAATCGTAAAAATTTTATAATAATTTTATAGAATAAAATAAATAATAGTGCAGTGACATCTTGCCTGGTCATAAGATTTTTCTGACTCATTTTTTTGAAAAATCATTTATTAGGTTATCAAATTTTATACTTTCGCAATTTCACTTTTAATTGACATAATTGAAAATGATGTCAGCTGCTCTTGGGAAATATAAAATTGCAAATAATTTTTGGCAATGTTTAATTTTGAGAAAAGGGTTGACAATATCAGAGTAAATTTCTAAAAAAAAAAATCATTTCAAAATATAACATCTAGAGCCAATGAGCCTCTTTTGTAGAGCACTGTCCTTTAGGCATAATGCGTTCTTTAAAACATTTTTTAAAAATTCTATGTGCATGGTGGTTTGCATGCATGTTGATGTCTGTGCATCCAGTGCCTTCAGAGGCCAGAGGAGAGTGTCAGATTCTCTAGAACTAGAGTTACAGGCAGTTGTTAGCCACCACATGGGTGCTAGGAATTGAACCAGGGTCCTACAGAAGAATAGTCGGTGCTCTTTTGCACTGAGCCATCTCTCTAGCTCTAATATTACACTCTTACTATTAGAGCAGCTGCGATTACCCACAAGAGCCCTACAGGAAGAACCTGCTGGCATTCCCTTAATGGGGAGGTTGGAGGGGCTCATTAGGATCTATTTGAGGTCCAGCTACCCATCCCCCCCCCACACCTCCTTCCAGCTTCTTCTAATTGTGTCCCAGCTGAGGTGGTCTCCCCAGGTACTGGAGGGGTTGGGGATGCTCTGTCTGTGTGGCTGTGGGTCTGTTTTCACCCCTGCTATGATGGGACCTTTTGGAAAGGGGACTGCTTTGGAGTCAGCCATACTGCTGTCATCAGCTCAATAAACTCACTGGTTCACCAAGCTAGACTTGATGCAATCATGACTTTATGTCTGTTGTTGGTGCTCTAGCTGGGGGAAGCACAATTGGTTGGGGTCTCCCCTGGAACAGTTAATACAACAGTCTCATTAAACAGTTTTTTTTTTCCTAAAGAGACTCATCTCTATACAAGTCAGTTTCATGCACAGATTTAATTTCAAAGTACAAACTCATTTAGTATTCATTTTAATGTTTCCTGGGACATTTGTGCAGCTTGTGGACACTGCCAGCCTCAGAACAAGGCTTTTGAGCTTAGCGTTGACTCCAAAATACTTGCTTATGTAGCCAGTTCCTACATGTTAATCATCTTAGAGGCACTATAGCTGTGATGAAACACCATGACCAAAGCGACTTAGGGAGAAAAGGGTTTATTTGGTTTACACTTCCACAGCACTGTTCACTGATCAGCCCTCTTTCTTATAGAACCTAGAACCATCAGCCCAGGGATGGCACCACCCACAGTGGGCTGGATCCTCTCTTTTCCCATCAATCACTAATAAAAATGCCTTAGAAGCTTGCCTACAAACCAATCTTATGGAGGCAGTTTCTTAACTGAGGTTCCTTTCCCTCAAGTAACTTTAGCTTGTGTCAAGTTGACATGAAACTGCCCAGACATCCATCTACAAGGAAAAACACAATGCAAAATGTTCTTCCTTGTTAATTTTTACTTGGGCAGAAACTTCATATGAAAAATATTCTTTTCTGTCAAATGCAATAATATTTATATTTAATTGGTTCAAGACCAAGTAAGAGTGTAGTAATTTTCAAAACTGGAGCTATTGAAACCCTGAGGAATTATTCTAACTCCAATACTGTTTATTGCAACCTTTGTGTTTGCTTCAATTTTGTAATAATTTACTAAAATGTTTTCAAACTAAAAAGTTGTCTGCATTCGTGTCAGCAGTTCTGCCCTTAATGACACCAATTTGTCCTGGCCTAACTGCCTTAGGACTGCGAAGTGCCCCAAACCACACTCAAGCAGGCAGCTGAGACCAAGCCACCAGCTCAATGGCTCAGCAGCCACACTGCCTGCCACAGCCGCAGGCCCCTTTCTGTCCTGTGCCCACTGCTGCATGGCCTCCTTCTCTCATTCAAGTGCATGCTTGATTGTCCCAACAAAAGACAAGCTAAAAAAATTAATTATTAGACATTTCAAGATGGTGACACATAGCTTTAAGCCAGGTGTCTTCTGTTATACAACATCCACGACTACCTGGATCGCATAACTATGAAGCCAGGTGCACATATCAGCCACTGATTTGTTCTAAGTAGAGATCAGAACAGTTTTTGGGAGGACTTCTATCAGGTGCCATTGGTCCCGTTTGGATGGCCTCTGCCCTTCTGTACAGAGTGTGGAGAAGGTACCTCACTTGAATGAAGGAATGAAAGTCTCGTCACCTGTTCTTTTGATCTCAAAGTTACGTGAATCTGCTCTTAGTCAAAGAAACAGTTTACTCAACACTCCTTTTGGAAAAGATACTTCCACTGCCTTCCCTTTAAGGTCTGGTCTTTGCTGGAATCTGTACCGTCTCATGTCGTCTATTTTATGGTAGCTGCTGTTCCCTGATGACACTGTGCCTTGTCCTTTCAAATGGAACACATGCGGTTATGTGAACCAGAAATATTGGTAGGTTCTGCTTCTTAAATTTATTGGTCAAGTGGCCACAGACACATCATTATCCATGGAATTTTTTCCTCTCTCAGATGAGAATACCAGTGGATACATCATCCATTTCAGTAAGCCATAGCTTGTAGCTTCTGCCCCGACCTTTCTAATTCTCTCCTGTCATAAATTATACATGTGTTCATTTCCTTTCTCTGGCTACTAAAAATTTCTTCATAGTTGATGACATATGCTTTCATCGGGAACACCAGACATCAAATTATCTGCTCTTATTTGTTCATTTATTTGGTTTTGTTATTGTTTTATTTGAGTTTGGTTTTTTGGTTTTGTGAGACAGGGTCTCTCTGTGTAGCCTTGGACTCGCTTTGTAGACCAGGCTGACCCAAACTTGCAGAGATCCAACTGCCTCTGCCTCCAGAGTGTTGGGATTAAAGGTGTGTGCCACCACACCTGGCCCCAGATTATCCATTTTTATGTGACATCAGCAGCTTCTGATATCATTTAGACTCCCCCTCCTCTTTTAAGCACACATTATATAGTTCATTGTTTACAGTGAATCATGAATCATACTTTTACCTATGCCTAGCTGCACCACGGGGTATTTACTATGTGGGAAGTTTCCAGCTTTCTGCCATTACAAAAACACTATAAAGTACAGTACAGCTTCTTATTTTTAAAGCCCCTAATTATAATGGCGCTAACTTTGAAAACTAAGGTTGAGGCAACCTCCCCAAAGCATGGCATCCTTCATGTGGTACAGCTTATGTAGGCAGCAGATTAGTGGCAGGGGCTGGGCAGATGGCTCAGTGGTTAAGAGCACTTTCTGCTCTTGCAGAGGACCTGGTTTTGATTCCCAGCGCCCACATGATGGCTAACAACTGCCTGTAATTCCAGTTTTAGGGGATCCTACACT